CTCAGCAGCGTAATTTCTACGGATACTATAATCGACACTGCACACATAGTTCCATATTTCAAGAAGCCCCAATGGGGAACAAGCCGATTTGCTGTGCGAAACAAAGACCAATTCTACGTTAATAAGTTCACACTCTAACGGATTTCTATGGGTCATCGTATGCCTGAAGGTATAACTCTCGTAACTGAGACAATTTGGCTTTCTGCATGGTCCTGCATTTCCATATCGGTGCACAAACTTGCTAACGAAGACAGACATCGATTCCGCTTTTAATTATCCTCACACTCTTACAATTACTTGACATGCTAACTGTTTTATTGCACCAGAAGGAAAAAAATCGGGAAACATTGTCAATAGACAATACGTACGAACTTGTGTAGAAAGAAAAATGTCGACTGCTCTCTCTCTCTCTCTCTCTCTCTCTCTCTCTCTCTCATCCCGGTGTTTATACGGCGAAACTTCAGACAATCCGAAAACGGTGGTCGGCAGGTGCGTCATTCTATTGTCTACAACCTTATCAATGTGTGTCAAATATCAGCGCACCTGGCGACCCAAGGAAAGCTTCCAAGGGAACTGGCCCCAGAGAAACGCCGACTACTTTTTTTTTTTCTCTCTCTCTCTCTCTCTCTCTCTCTCTCTCTCTCTCTCTCTCTCTCTCTCTCATCTCGTTGTTTACACGACGAAGCTTCAGACAATCGAAAAATGGTGGTCGGCAGGTGCGTCCGTCTATTGTGTATAACCTTATCAATGTGCGTCAAATATCAGCGCACCTGCCAACCCCGGGAAAGCTTCCAAGGGAACAGGCCCCAAACAAACGGTATAGAGGGAAGAGGATGACGTGATGGTTAGTGGCGAGAAGCAAAAGGCAATAACAACATGTGCCACATAACGAACGTGACGTCCGTATTTCGGAAACCATAATCGCGTTTTCATATGCGATCACCACTTAAGTTTACCTAAACACATATTCATTCTCAAAGAGCRATGTGAAAATAAAAGTTAGATTAAGAGGATGCGAATGTCATTTGGTGAAACCACATGAATTCTATCTACTCTTGTTCATAGTGTATGACGCTTGTACTCACAAAGACATGCATATATGTACCTGGCAATTGATAAGACAACATTACAACGCTGTGATAAGCCTCTGTATTTGACTGATGCCCCCTTTGTTTCCAGATAAAAAATGTCAAAACTAGCATGGAGCCGAAAGAGGACCCAGAATACAGCACGGAAGGCTTCTGCACGATTTGTAGTCCCGCGTCGAGTTGCGAGAGGGGGTATGCAAGAAGAAAATGAACGCAAAAGTAAGCCGGACATGACGGGCACAGTGGAGCGGGTGATCTAGACACGAGCAGCGGATGCAGAGCCTTCGAAAAGGAATGGCAGTGTGGATGTGGATTTGACAAAAGAGACCGAAGACTACGAGGACGACCCGTTGGACAGCTTTCAGTACGCCGCCCCGAACAAAAGGAAAAATGAGTGTGTGACAGTACACAGCTTTGAGCAAAGAAAAAGTGTGATATTAGAAAAAACTTGGTACGCAGATGCATATGCTCTTTACATGCAAGGCAGACAAGGGTGGAGCGACAGAAGGGGAATGCAATCATCTTCAGTTCAGAAACAGAATGTAACAGATGTGAAGGAAAAGGCGCAAATGGACAGCTCGAATGTTCAAAGTAGATACAACGAGGATGTGAACAAAGACGAGAATATTGATGACTCAAGAAGTGCAAACAAAAAGGTA